AAAAAAAAAAAAAAAAATAGCCATAACCAGAGCTGGCATTTTAAGCCAACTAGTCCAGCAGAAAGGTAGAAGGTTCAGATTCATGTTCCACAGGCCCAAAAAAAAGGTCGATTTGGTGGCCCAAATAAGTAACGAGCTAGGTCCACTTTGAAACTTGGTCTGGAGGGGCAGAGTGGACTGGGTAGGTCCAACTCTAACCATAAATAATACAAGAGTTGGTTGCAGATAATCTTCAGGGCACTTGAGATAACATATGCCAATAAGTATGCATTCTTCAGCTTTAAAATCATACAGAAAACCAAATTTCCACATTTTCTGCTCCAAAAAGGTAACACTGATAACCAAAATACTGAATCTAAAAATAATTAATAGAGTCAACTTGCAGATATTATTAGGATGGACTCCAAATATTAGCCTGTTCCCGAAGAGCATCTAATAAATGAAGGACTTTTATATCACATGAAAATCATGTATTTGTATGTTACTTAGATTCCAATGTATTTTCCATTCCACTGAATCAAATTGTGATGCATCGTCCCCAACATGCTCAAATTGCCACTACTAGAATACTAAAATGTATCAACGTACATTCAGAAGTTGAGAATCGTCCTCTAACTCTGATTAAGAACCAAATAGATCAAAAGAAGTCTGAAACGCGCGTGCGGGCACACAACACACTTAAAGGGCTAAGGGTGATCCCATAAAATGCACCAAGTCCAGAACTTAAACCAAAGCCAAACACTGATATCATGGATGTACAGTAAAACCCTACTGATCTCGAATAAAGAAAGAAAATAGAAAGCTCGTACTGGTATTCAGTGCTGGAACAGCTAAACCACAACGTAGCTTAACCCAAAAACAAGGAAGGTAGCCACAGTAGAACAGTCCAAACATGGTACTGCTAAGCTGAGCAAAACGTGGATTTCCTCTCTGCAGAAGGAGGGCCATAGCAACAAAAAAGGCTGCAGATGTCACCGGAACATCAATGTTACCATAGTATCTGACAGAAAGACATAGACAATCATCAGAGGAACAAAATGTGAAACTGAAGCATGCAAGAGGAATCACAGCCTCAAATAAAAATCAAGACAAATCCACTGTCTACTAAAAGCTAATTTGTTCACTTACAGGTAATAACAAATGTAAATTCTATTAAAAGAAAATACTAAGCGAAAAACGGATTGATGCACTAAACTGACCCCTTCTAAAGCAAAGAAAAATATTTATTTCCAAACAAACAAAGGATAAAGAGCAGAAAACATCACATTCTTTTTCAATCATGATGTGAGACAACACTAGATTTTCTTCCCCCATATTAGTTCCCACTCTCTAAAATTAATCCTCACATTACATTTTAAAGTGATTTTAAACACCAGAAACCTATAAAATATGTACTCTCATTGGCATGACTAAATAATTTCCTCTTGACAGGAGCATACTGACCTACAAAGGAACAAGCTTCATCCTAATTTTATGCTAACAATGCAGATACATCACCAGTAAAATAAAGCAATCAGACAAAATGATCAGAAAAATTAAGTTCCACCCCGCAGTTTGAGAGCTTAGATCCACATAAAAGAGACCAATCTACTAAAACCGGGCAGAAACTCTTACAGGGTGAGTAAAGGCATGAAAGCACAGATAGCAGAACAAGCTCGTGACACGTATCGAGGAGGAGGCGTCATTCCAGATGCAATTCCTCGACTTCTTACAAGCTCAAAATACTCCCTTGAACCAACAAATACAGCTGCAGCAAGGGCCACCGTGAAAACCCACCCTCCAGTCAACACAACTCCTCCAACCGAAATCCCAATACACAGTCCAAAAATTACCCTTTTCCTTAACTGACTTGCACTTTTACGGTGTTCTGAATCTACTTCGCCCTCGTCAGGAAGCTGCGTACCTCGTTTAACCTCCTAGAACATATCAATGTCAGTTGTCCAATTTTAAGTAATCTGAACATTACTAACGAAGAACAGTATAAAAATTAATAGCATAAAGCAGTAGTGAAACAAATCTAAAAGCACTAAGGTCATGCCCGGAGAGAAAAAAATTGTGTATTACTCCAAATTCTAGGAGGAATCAATACATAGAATTTCTTCCATTCGCAAGTTCCTTAATTCGTTTGGTATTCTTTGGGACATTACCCATTCCTAATTCAACCAATTAATTCAACCAGAAACAACAAATGAACAAATGAAAGAGAGATTTTCAATGCTTGATGGCCACAGCATATGGTCACAGCAATGGGTAACCCGTGTGTACTACGAAAGAATATACTAAATAAAGAAAGCGGCCAAAATCGTTCTGTGACAAATGAAGCCCATAAAAAAACTACCTCCTTGGTTATGCCGCCATCGTCGATTCTATCCGGTTGCTCGGCCCTAGCGACGGCCGTGATCAACCGTCGCCCGTGTCTCAACAGGACACCGGCAGGAACTCTCAATTGCCCTACTCCCCCTTTATCACTCACTTCCAATTTGAACTTCAGTTTGCGGGACCTCAGCTGGGCGCCTAATTCCAGACGGCGCACGTTAGCCCGAGAGCGGCATGAGCAGAGTGAGGCTACAGAGAGAGGAATCAACGCAATCCTATCGAATTCTACTATCTGCGCGGCCATTAGAAGCGGAAAGCTGGACAATGGGAATGGGTTACGTGGATTTGAGACTCATAGCTGCTGTGGAGGTATTTGGTGTGCTGTCGATGGCCGGGTCGGACCGCCGCCGTACGGGATGGAGATTCTAGCCGGTGGCGGTGATACTCCGCCTCGGGATTCACAATGGATCGAATGCTTGAAAATGATGCGTACGAGTGTTTATGATTTACTAATTACGGAGTGACGAGGTTGGGGCAAAATCATAGTATTATTTTACCCCAAAATTTTCATCTTTTTCATTTTGGCACTTATGTTCCAACTTAATCAACTTTCTCAATAAAATATCAAAATTAATGGACTTTTTTGTCCAAAAATAAAAAAATATAGTTAAATTTGACGGCTGTCCCGCTGTCGCCGAAGGCGAGTTTCAACATCTATATATATATATAATTGCTAGCTAATCATTAAATAAAACCTCATAAATAAAACCTAATTAATAAAATCTCATTTATTTTCCCTCCAAAAGAAATTACAAAATTTGTCATTTATATTTTTCCTTTCACATTAATACCCCTATTAAGTGTAATCATGTAAAAAGTTAATAACATTAACTATTATATAATATAATAGCAAAACAATAGCATTAACTACTATAATAATAATAATAATAATAATAATAATAATAATAATAATAATATTTTAAAACAATAAAATTGTTTATACTTATGTAATTTATATTTAGTGTAAAATGTTCTGAGTTGGTAATAGCATTAACTATTATATAATATAATTGCAAAAAATTACATGATTACACTTAATAGGGTGTATTAATGTGAAGGCAAAATATGAATGACAAATTTTGTAACTTTTTTTTTAGGGAAAATAAATGAGGTTTTATTAATTATGTTTTATAAATACATGATTACACTTAATTAGGTTTTATGAATGATATTATTATTATTATTATTTTAATTTTATATTTCATGAAACAATTTTATTTAGAAACAATTAGTAAATAGTTTTAATAGTATAGTAAAAAACTTTTAAAATCTTATAAACAATTGTCGTTGTAATAAGAATAGTAATAATAATAATTATAATAATAATAATAATAATAATAATAATAAAGTTTTCAAGTAAATTATTTGACCATGATCCCTCCAAATTATAAAAATTACATTACCCACAAATTTTTTTAATCAATATAGTGATTCATATGTAATCAAATAATTTATATAAATATTATTTTATTTTTATTAATGATTAAATCTTGAAAATGTGGTATGTCCATTATCTAGAATTTTAATATTAAATTCACATATCTTGAAAATGTGATATGTTTATTTTCTAGAATCTTAATATTAAATTCACATATCTTGGAAATGTTATATGTTTATCATCTATAATTTTAGTATTAAATTCACACATATTACTTATATATTTTATGTACATTTGTGCATGTGCACAGGATGATAACTAGTATAATAGTAAAGCTATCGACTCAATCTAGTACTCTTTATTTCATCTTACGATATCTCAAAATTCATATATCATTCAAAAGAATTATGGCGCATTTCGTCGAGAAAATTTTGAATTTTTTAGATATGATATGGTGAAATAAAAGGTATCGTTAGATAGGTATCGAGAGACAGAGCTTTCACATGATGTATGATTTGTTGAAATCATTCACCCGCAGCGAGATATCATATGGTTTGTTGAAGTCATATCTGATTTACCAAACATGAAATTTTTCTGACGAGTTCTATTAAAATAACCTCATGTTATATTTTTTGCTGCAAACGAGTCGAGCGGTTCACGAGCGATCGAATTAATGCTCGACTCGAGATTGTGTTAGATTTAGCTCAAGCATTTTGAATTCGAATATTATGACCGAGATCGAGCATTTCAAGTTCAAATTCGAGCCCGTAGTTTATAAGCTCGATCCCGAATATAAGTAAAAATTACCTTATCCCTCATAACTAGATATTTTTATGTTAATTTTGAGTTTAACTAGAGCGTTATGTTTTTTTGTAGAACCGAGTCAAGCATCAAGCAAGAGTGGCTCCTCGAGCTCAAGCCGGTGCCAAATAAACCGATCATGAGTCGTGACTTGATAATGCCAATGCTCATATGCAGTCCAAGCCGGTGCCAAATAAACCGATCATGAGTCATGACTTGATAATGCCAATGCTCATTTGCAGTCCTACCGGAGATACATTTTTTTCTTGTTTTTTTTTCTTACTCTAGTAATAACTGATATCATAATTTTTTCAATTCGCAGTATTTTAGTACACTATTAACTCTATGACGAACATCACTCTCAAATTAATTTTTTCAGTATTTCAGATTATCTTCAATGAATTTTTTTT